GTACTCGGGTGTACTCAGTAGTACTCAGTTGTACTCAGTTGTACTCAGGTGTACTCAGTAGTACTCAGGTGTACTCAGGTGTACTCAGTTTTACTCAGTTGTACTCAGGTGTACTCAGGTGTACTCAGGTGTACTCAGTAGTACTCAGGTGTACTCAGGTGTACTCAGTTGTACTCAGGTGTACTCAGGTGTATTCAGGTGTACTCAGTAGTACTCAGGTGTACTCAGGTGTACTTAGGTGTACTCAGTAGTACTCAGGTGCACTCAGTTGTACTCAGGTGTACTCAGTTGTACTCAGGTGTACTCAGTTGTACTCAGGTGCACTCAGGTGTACTCAGGTGCACTCAGGTGCACTCAGGTGCACTCAGGTGTATTCAGGTGTACTCCGGTGCACTCAGGTGCACTCAGGTGTACTCAGTTGTACTCCAGTGTACTCAGGTGTACTCAGGTGTATTCAGGTGTACTCCAGTGTGCTCAGGTGTACTCAGTAGTACTCCAGTGTACTCAGGTGTACTCAGGTGCACTCAGTTGTACTCCAGTGTACTCAGGTGCACTCAGGTGCACTCAGGTGTACTCAGGTGTAGTCAGGTGCACTCAGGTGCACTCAGTTGTACTCAGGTGTACTCAGGTGCACTCAGGTGCACTCAGGTGTACTCAGGTGTATTCAGGTGTACTCCGGTGCACTCAGGTGTACTCAGTTGTACTCCAGTGTATTCAGGTATATTCAGGTGTACTCAGGTGGACTCAGGTGCACTCTGGTGTACTCAGGTGTACTCAGGTGTACTCCGGTGCACTCAGGTGCACTCAGGTGTTCTCAGTTGTACTCCAGTGTTCTCAGTTGTACTCAGGTGTACTCAGTTGTACTCAGGTGTACTCAGTAGTACTCAGGTGCACTCAGGTGTACTCAGTTGTACTCCAGCGTACTCAGGTGTACTCAGTTGTACTCAGGTGTACTCAGGTGGACTCAGCTGTACTCAAGTGTACTCAGTAGTACTCAGGTGCACTCAGGTGTACTCAGTTGTACTCAGGTGTACTCAGGTGTACTCAGGTGGACTCAGTTGTACTCAGGTGTACTCAGGTGTACTCAGGTGGACTCAGTTGTACTCAGGTGTACTCAGGTGGACTCAGGTGGACTCAGGTGTACTCAGGTGTACTCAGGTGTACTCAGGTGGACTCAGGTGTACTCAGGTGTGTCTTGTCTCCTGACAGGAGCCATTGTTCTTCAGTACCTCGGCCTTCACTGATGACTATGATGACTATGACCACGACTCAAACTTTATGTGTGACCGGGGGTCCGTGCGGTACTTCCGGAGTCAGTACGAGCCGCCCCTCTTCTGGATCATCACTATTGTGGGCGGAGTTGGAAACCTGGCGGTAGTGTGGATTTACCTGAACGTTCGAAAGCGCCTGAAGACGATGACGGACATGTACCTTCTGAACCTGGCCGTGGCCGACCTGCTGTTTCTGGTCACACTGCCGCTGTGGGCAGCCGAGGCATCCAACAGCTGGATCTTTGGCACCGCCCTCTGCAAGATAAACTCCGCCCTCTACAAAGTTAACCTGTTCAGCAGCATGATGCTCCTCACCTGCATCAGTGTGGACCGCTACATCGTCATCGTGCAGACCACCAAGGCCCAAAACTCCCAGACAGAGCGTCGCCGCTGCAGCCGTCTGGTGTGTGCGGGGGTGTGGCTAGTGGCTCTGCTGCTCGCCATACCTGAGCTGGTGTTCTCCGTGCCCACCAGCGTGGAGTCCAAGAGTTACTGCAGGATGGTGTTCCCCTCTAACTTTGAGAACCGCACCAAGATCCTGGTGCTGTCGCTGCAGGTGAGCATGGGCTTCTTCCTGCCCTTTGTGGTCATGGCCTTCTGTTACAGCATGATCGTGGCCACGCTGCTCAAGAGCCGCAACTTTGAGAAGCACAAGGCCATGCGTGTCATCCTGGCCGTGGTGGTGGCGTTCGTCGTGTCGCAGCTGCCCTACAACAGCATGCTGGTGGTGGAGACCACGCAGGCCGTCAACCTGACCGTGACGGACTGCGACAAGGTGAAGGCCTTGGACATGGCCGGGCAGGTGCTGAAGGGTGTGGCCTACATGCACGCCTGCCTCAACCCCTTCCTCTACGTGTTTGTGGGCGTGCGCTTCCGTCGTGACATGATGCGGCTGCTGCGCTGCTGCTCCTGCCGGCCACAGCCCAGCAAAGGCTCCCTGGGGAAGATCAGGAGTCCTCGGAGCTCCACCAGGGTTTCAGTCATGTCTGACAGCGACAACTCCCAAGCACTGTCGCTGTAGACAGGAAGCTGCGCAACTTCCTGTTTGTGCTGCCGTGGCTGCAGCGTGGCAGGACGAGTGAGGACACCTGAAACAGGAAGATCTGCACGTCTGTTTCTGAAGGCTTTAAATATGATGCATGCTGCTCCGGTCCAACCGTCACATCCTGACGTTCTGCTCACTCTGAGTCACATGGTGACATCTGGAATCCCCAGACACTGTCCCTAAAAGCCCCGGTCTCCCCACAGGTCCTTCAGTGACATCTTCATCTCAGGACTTCAGCTTCAGCAGGACCAGGACCCAGTTCACTTCTGATCTCTGATGTTTTTTATTAGTTTTATGGTCTCTGTGCAGCACTTTGCTGCTGGTTTTGAAAGTGTTGTAGAAATAAACTCAGAGGCTATGATCATGAGGCCACAGCCAGGTTCAACGTCTCATCCAGAACCCATTTCCAGGTTCTTCTCAGAACTTCTCAGGACTTCTCAGGACTTCTCAGTACTCTCACAAGTTGTTCAGGATGTTTTCAGACTTTAACCAGGATTCATTTTCCTCTGAGACACATTTCATTATGTTTGTCAGAACGATGGCTCAGTGGTTAGCACCGACGCCTCACAGCAAGAAGGTCCTGGGTTCGATCCCTGGTTCAGACCTGGTCTGGGTGGAGTTTACATGTTCTCCTTGTGCTTGTGTGGGTTTTCTCTGGGTACTCCGGTTTCCCCCACCCCACCATAACATGTCCAACAGGTGGTCTTCAGGTCCAGACCTCCCTTGAAAAAGAGATCTGAGATCTGAACGGGACTTACCTGGTAAAATAACGGTAAATAATAATTTTATGTATTTTATTTTTGAGTTTGTCAGAACTTGCTGTTCAGTGGACATGAAACCAAGAAACCTGTGACTTTAGCTGCTGTTGGTGACGCTGCTCATGTGACTGAAGAGGACCACATGACACACGAGTGTTAATCTGAGCCAAACCCTTCTGTGTGAAGGGTTTAATCTGTGAAATGCTTCCACCACTGCTAACATGTGCTAACAGAGGCTAACATGTGCTAACAGAGGCTAACATGTGCTAACAGACGCTAACATGTGCTCACAGAGGCTAACACACGCTAGCCAAGGCTAACATGTGCTAACAGAGGCTAACATGTGCTAAAAGAGGCTGGTGACAAAGGCTAACACATACTAGCCAAGGCTAACACGTGCTAATAGAGGCTAACACATGTTAGCTGAGGCTAACACATGCTAGCAGAGGCTAACACATGCTAACAGAGGCTAACACATGCTAACAGAGGCTAACACATGCTAGCTGAGGCTAACACATGCTAGCAGAGGCTAACACATGCTAACAGAGGCTAACAGCCCTCTGGATGTTTTCTCTCTGTGATAAATGTGACTCAGTGTTTTTCATGTGATGTGAATAAAGTCTTGTTTTGAGTAAACGTGTTCAGAGTTTCTGTGAGCGGGAAAATTAACAGGAAGTTGATCAGTCTGACTGTTTTTCTTCACATCCTTCCTGTCTTCATCCTGTTTGTGTCTTTATACTGAGCTTCACTCCTCATCATCACCTCCCAACACTTCTGTGTAAAAGAAACAAGTGGAAGCTCACCTGCAGCTCACCTGCTGCTGACCTGCTGCTCACCTGCTGCTGACCTGCAGCTCACCTGCTGCTGACCTGCTGCTGACCTGCTGCTGACCTGCTGCTCACCTGCAGCTCACCTGCTGCTGACCTGCAGCTCACCTGCTGCTGACCTGCTGCTGACCTGCTGCTGACCTGCAGCTCACCTGCAGCTCACCTGCTGCTGACCTGCTGCTGACCTGCTGCTGACCTGCTGCTGACCTGCAGCTCACCTGCTGCTGACCTGCTGCTGAACTGCAGCTCACCTGCAGCTCACCTGCTGCTGACCTGCAGCTCACCTGCTGCTGACCTGCTGCTGACCTGCTGCTGACCTGCAGCTCACCTGCAGCTCACCTGCTGCTGACCTGCTGCTGACCTGCTGCTGACCTGCTGCTGACCTGCAGCTCACCTGCTGCTGCAGCAACAACCTGGAGCTGAAC